CGGCACACTAGTGTGCCGCGGCACAGTGGTTGAAAAACACTGATTTAGTTAGCTGCTATAAGAAGTTTGCACAGATTGACTACAAACCAAAGACTGAGAATCTGCATAAGACATTTACAAGCTATGACATGACAAAATAACAGCAATGGTATATTGGAAGTTCTGCAAGAAACATCATTTGCCTGCAAGCAAGAATTGGTGCGACGACAAAACAGAAAAAGAAAATAGAAAATGAAGAAGCTAAAGTGGTCTGGGATTTTAAAATTCAAATGCATAAACACCTGCCACATAACATCCCAGTCTTAAAAATGGTCAATAACAGAGAAAGAAAGTCTGGATAGTAGACTTTGCAATAGTCCGAGACAATAAGATATACAAAAAAGAACTGGAGAAAGATCACAATATATAGACCTGCAAACAGAAATAGAATAACAAAAGAAAGCAATGATAGTGCCAGTAGGAATAGCTACCTTGGATATAATTCCAATATCTTTGGAGCACCACTTGAACATCATCAGCATTGACAAAATACCCATCCGTTAATTGCAAAAGACAGTTTCACTTTGAAAGGTATCTTACAACGTATACCTTTAACATCATAAAACAACACCTGCCTATCCCAAGACATTGGGAAGGACTTGATAAGTGGATAAAAATTCAGACTAAAAATCTGGCTGACAGTATGCACAGAAGTAATATATAAAGTTCAGATCAATCTGCAAATCTGCATTTAAAAGAAAATAGTATCTGAAACATCCAACATAAATAAATATTCAAGAAAAGCATTCCTCCACACCAAGATATAAATGTTGCAGACACACTAGGCACATGTTGATCCTAACCAGAACAGATCAACATCAATAGATATGAGCCACATAATATAATCGTTTACACTCCATAATATATTTCCACTTAAAATATTCAAGAGTATAGTTTACCGGACAGGAAACCTTCTGTTTTGACTTATTTAAAACTTCCTGTTTATTTGCACAGTCAAACTGCTAATGTACAAAGCTAATGTCAAACTGCTAATGTACAAAGCTGGAAGAAATGGATAGCTATAGTGACAGGCTATTTGAGGAAAATAGACCTGAACCAAATACTTCTAAGGAAAAAGTATTTCATAATTAAAATTTTTACATCAAACAAATAATCCCAATCCTTGACATCTGACAGTCAAAAGATGACCGAATTTATGAAAGCATACTCGCTAATAGTCTTCAATATCATCCATGAGGCCAAATGAGTCTTATATTTTAGCAGTTTATCATATCAGTTGTTTTCCTCTAATCTCTACTGTTGTATCAGAAAACTAGAAAATACAGTTTTTGTGATCCACACTTTCACGAACCCCATATTGGGGGAGAGGGACTGGAAAAATATGGAAAGGCAACAAGCGCGGCAACAGAGATCAATACAGAATTAATATCTGTGTAAGGATACGTCAAGACTAGGAATCAAAAATAAACCAGTCTGATTAAATTTCTACGTGAACCTTTTCAAAGATATTCTGTATTAGACTGAATTTGCCCTAAGTTTCAAGTTTCTGTGTTACTAAATATAGATAGACCTTGACATTCAACTGCAATTATGGTCATAAGTTGTACCAGTCGTTAAGTGAGTAACCATGTGACTGATTTTATGACTTTTTCAACTGCTGTCAGGAATTTTGAATTTAGTTTTGTAAGTAGCCCCGAGGAAACCCACTGTAATCTCAAACATCAACTAAGTGGCTGGTCAGCTCTGAAGAAATTCATTGTGACTTCAAACATCCAGTAAGTGGTTGGTCATAAATTGAGGCTTACTTGGATATTGCCACTTTCCTAGTACCCCAGAAAAATTAAATCATTTGAAAAATTGCTATCAGCCCTCTGGGAAGTAAATATATAGTTGATATTTTTCATTTTAACAAGAATGTATAATCAGCAAAGCAATAACCATGCCACTATAGTAGGATTTTATATTATCTCGGTATTTCAAACATCTGCTGAAGATGGTTAGATTTTTATCTGCTTAGATGTCATAAACATTAACTTTATGGCAATAATTATCTTGATGATTTTACAGTTCTTCCTTACAAATAAAGCATACTATGTATTATAATAAAACATCTAGCTGGGTAATCCTAAAGCTAACTTACCTATTGTATGAACATGAGTTTATTACTAAACCAATTATTGAAATTTTGAATTATAATATCACAACGATGTATCCCTTAAAATGCCAGGCTTTTACCAGCTTCATAAAAAACAAACTGCTGAATTCAAGAAGAGGAAATAAAACTGCTTACCTTTTCTAACTTCTTGGCCTCTATGTGCCGTAGTACTTGTTCTCTCCAGTCATGAGGAACTTTATTTTTTCCTGTAGGATCCATCAGAGAGTATTCAGAATTAACTCTTGGATTTGTTCTTTTAGACGGACTAGTCCTTGAGTAATTGAAGTCACTGACCGACATAGTTCTCTCTGGTATATCGTTTGCTGAAGGACGGGCACTCTGAGGTCGGGGTACATTTGGTCCATCAATGCTATGTGTTCTTGCTGAAAGAGGTCTCTGTTGCCCTGACAATTTTGGCGGGACTCTTCCCGCTGAATGCAAATCCCTATACGTTAAATAATCCCCCTCAGAAACCAGAGGACGGCGTGAAGATCCAGGATCAACATTAGCTGAAGCAGTAGAAGACACACTACTCTGTCGCTGGAGAGTATTTCGGGTTGCACTAGAAGGATGCCTGTCATTTGGTGAAACAGCCCACATTTCCATATGCCTACTGCCCATCCTTTGATGCATATTATAGGCAGCACTAGCTCTAACGTTATTATGGTTAGAGAAATTCATGTTGGCCGAATGTTTTGCAGAAGTGCAGCTCTCTGTACTATCCAGCCTTGGTAAGCGCTGAGAAGACGAACAACTTTGTTCAGCTACAGGATTTTGTTTTTGGAGCCACAAAGACTCTTTGGGTACAATATTGCTGCTGTATTGTATATTATATTGAGGGGTAGTGAATGGTTGTGAGGAATGCGGTCCTTGCCCTATAACTGTATTAGTATCTTCAGGATTATGATTCAAATCAAATTTAGTTGCTGTTTTTGTAGATATTAAATCAGAAGATGATGAACATCCAGGAAATACTTGTAATGGCTGATCATATAAGAGAGTAGCTGACTTGCTCCGGACTATATTTTTTCCATCTGCAGCCATACCTGCTGATTTTATTGCTGGATTGGGGTTCTGGGATCCACTGTCATTTAGAATATCACAGATTTTTAGAGCACCTGTCTCCATGTTAGTTATGCTGTGGGATTTCACCACTGGCCCACTCCTCTGTGGAGACAAGTCTTCAGTGCTTTTTGAAAGACACATTTCCAAAGAAGAATCGGTTTCAATGGTAGCACTTCTCTTTAGCTCTGACTTTTTTGCGGAGTGTGGCATGTCGTCAGAATGTCCATTGATAATATTTACTGGGCATATATTTGGATATTTATTTTCCAATTGTTTAATTTCTTCTTTCATATGGTCATTTATCAAGTCCTTAATTGACATCTCTGTTGATTTTATTTGATTCACTACATTAGATTGTAGTCCCTCTTCAGCTAATTTGCAGATATTCCTGTTGATCTGATGCACGTTGTGAGGCTCATCAGTGGCATTGTTTAGTTCAACACCTTTCTCTATTAAAGCTAATCTCTCCTCAATATTTAAACTGAATTCAGATAGATTTGTGATTTTATCTGGAAAGTTCATTTTTTCTTCTGTCAGAGCATTTACTTCTCCATTTTGCAAAAGACTGTTAGAATTTTCATCTTCTTCCCTGTAAAATAAAACAATCCTAAATATAACAAGAGTAATTTTATAAAATGGCTATATTTAATAAATATATTTTAAGAAAGCAGCATTAAGCCAGATTTAATCATCTGTAGAGACAAATGAACTGGACTCAGAGAGATAGCTGCTTAAAAACTGAGCAAATAATAATAATAGTAATGAAAGAGATATCAGTCAACCAAGACAAAAGGGAGCAGTAGAACTTATCTAAGATGATAATGGGATTAAACGTCTTTATAGTCTTTTCTAACAAACATTGTGATACACCAGGAAATTGTGAATTGCATGATGAAGGGGCAGTCTAAAGCTTTACACAAACAGAAACATTGTTAAGGATTATCTCTTTATTCTGAATGAATTTAAATCTTCAAAACAAGATAGCGGAACCAGTTAATACCTAGTTGAACCCTTCTCTGAGCAATCCTGGAGAACTGATGAAATA